TTTTCTCTTCTTTTTCCTTTGATTCGAGGGTCTTTTTATAGGGATTGATCAGAAGAGTTTTTGATCAATCCCAACTCTTTTTTGGATTGGGATTCAATCATTGAATCCAATATGGACTCTGATTGAATCTCAATTCACAGTGAGATTCCTCCAAAACCAATCCAATCTTCAGCTGAAAAAAATCAGAAAAATAAAAAATCAAATAAAAAAATATTAATAGATAACTAAATGAAAATAATCGGATAACCAGAAAATTAATAGATAAATTATAATATATAAATAGATAAATACTAATAAATACATATATATAATAATATATAAATAGATAAATAAAAAAATAATAAATATATATTAATAAATAGTAATAAAAATAAATATATAAATTATACATAGGATACACAGAAGAAAAAGAAGAGGAAAAAATATAAAATATAAAATAAAAATAAAAATATAGAAATATAAAATACAAAATACAAAATACAAAAATAAATAATAAAAAAAATCAATGAGCCTACCCATTTGGATCAGACCCAATTGATCTGGGCCTAAACCAAATTGAGTGTCTACAATATATGATATGATATATGATATATGGTATATGACATATGATTAGAGTAAATTACAATAATAATTTTAAGGTATTCATTATCTAAATTTAATTATAAATAATTAAATACGTTATTTATTGTAGATCTCTAAATTTTGATTTGAACTAGAAAATTTCATTCAATATTTTAATCAAAATTAAATCCAACCAACCTAAATTTAAAAACAATTCGAACCTAAATTGATTGTAATATAAGAATTAAAAATAATATTACCTAATTAATTGAATGACTCTTAAAAGTAATTGAAAAAAAAAAGTAAAATACATTCAGATCCTTGAGTTTTAAATATAATTCAACTCAATTCTATTAGTTTGAAAAATAGATATATTGCCCCAAAACTATTCAATTAATAGGACACTAAGGTCTAAGGTTCTTCTGTTAGTTAATTCCGTTAAAATGCGCATTAAAAGATTATTTTACTTTTAAAAAATTAATATCTTTAAATACTCACATAAATAATTATTTATAATAATAAATTTTTTTCTTAAAATATATATAAAAAAATTTTGGTGCAATATTTTTAAAAAAAAATCACAATCATAAATAACATTTTTTTCAATCAAATATTTTTTTCTTATTATGTATTACATGTTTTTATTATAACATTTATTCTTATTATAATTTTGAATTTTACTTTTATATATTACACCTAAAAATCCTTTTATATATTATTAATATATTTTAAGAAAAAAATTATTATTATAAATAATTACTTTATATGAGTATTTGCTTATTATATTTACATGCTCTTATAGGTGTAATATATAAAAACAAAACTCACAATTATAAATTTAAATAAAAGATTTTAAAAAAAGATGACATGTGAAATAAATAATATAATGATAAATGAACATTTATATAATTCAATCAAATTTTTTTTGTATTATATGCTACATGTTCTTATTATAACATTTTTTTCTTATTCTAATTTTGATTTTTTTTTATATATTACATATAAAAAACTTTTTTTATATATTATTAATATATTGTATATATTTTAAGAAAAAAGTTATTATTATAAATAATTATTTTATGTGAGTATTTGCTTATTATATGTTACATGTTCTTATTATAATATTTTTTCTTATTATAATTTACAATTATAAAGCACATTTTTTCAACCAAATATTTTTTTTATTATATGTTACATGTTCTTATTATAACATTTTTTTCTTATTATAATTTTGAATTTTGTCTTTATATATTGCACCTAAAAATCTTTTTTATATATTATTAATATATTTTATATATTTTAAGAAAAAAATTATTATTATAAATAATTATTTTATATGAGTATTTAAAATTTTTTATTTTTTAAAAATAAAATGATCTTTTAATAAATCTTTTAACTTACAAAAAGACCTTAATGTCTTATTAATAAAAAAAAATTTAGATGAGATGTTCATTTTTTAAACTAATGGATAAGAATTAAATTATATTTAAAATTCAAATACTTGAATATATTTTACTTAAAAAAGAAATAAATACTATTTGGCCACTAAAAGATTAGAAGTTGGGTTTCCTATCACATGTTTTTTTTTTTTTTTTAAATTAGACCACATATCCTACAAGTGGCTAGCTAGCCTTTTTTAATGGTTTTTTTTTTTTTTTTTTTTGGTTTTAAGCCTCGTAATGTCTAGTTTGATCCAATTTTATATTGGGTGTTTTTGAGTTACAAGTATGTTGGATGGTTGATTGTGTGGCTTGTTCATTGATTTATGAAAGTTATATTTATATTTTATGAAATTTGTTTGAGTATAATAATTTTTTACTTATATATTTAAGGACTTAGATATAACAATTTGTATATCCAAAATTATTCGATCCGTATAAGTAAATTTAAATTATTTTATAAATAAATTCGGGTAAAATATAGTAATAAGTTTAGGGTATTTGTTACCTAAATCTAATTATAGATAATTCAACACCCTCGTATTTAAATTAAAAAGGAAATCAATAACAAATATCATAAATGTTTAAATTAAGGGGCTTGTGTATTTATCATTTAATAAAAAAGGACCACACTTGGAATTGTACCTTCTTCTGCTATTAAGTTATTACTAAGATAAAAGTTTAAGAACAATTACAATTGTCATGTTCATTTCAACTTAATAAATATGTTTAAATTGGATACACATAGGTAAGAGAAAATATTCAAATGTTTAATAAAATACATCATTAATTGAAATTCTATTTTTTATGGATCATTAATAGAGTTTTTAAAATCTAAACTCTACAAGCAAAATAAAAAAAATTTTATCGGTGGATGGTTGATTCAAACGATAAAGAGAAATTTTTTTTTTTATTGTTTAGGTTCGATTTCATTGAAAGATTTTAAAAAAAAAATTTTTCATAAACTCATTAGATTTAACATACATAAACCTAATTAAATCAATTTAGAGAAAAGATGTATTAGATAAAGTCTAAAAACTTCTTGCCGCTTAATAAAGAAAAAGAAAGAGATGATAACATATATCATTTTTTAAATTATTTTTTAATATAACTTACAAGATTATATATCATCCTGTTAATCTATTGATAAAATGATTGTGATAAAATAATTTTTTTAATTGAAATTAATCATAACCCTAAGTTTTATTGTGAAAAAAAAAAAGGAAAAACTAATGGGTAAGAAAGTTCAAATCAAGATGATTGATGATCGTAAAGACAGCTTAGGTCGTTGGGTTGTCCATTTTCCTCATATTTCAAATTGGAAAACAAAAACGTCTCAAGTTGTTGGTATGTGTATGCATGTGAACGAGAAAGATTCAATCAACCACATATTTTCCATTTGGTTTTGGTTATCCCCATCCAAAATTGAACTATCAATGGACCACTCATCCTTTTGCCGATCATATTCGAGGTTTATCAGTCTGGTTTCAAGAAAATTTCATCACCATCCATCTCACTTGCTTGGTGCCTTCCAAGTTAAGTTTTCAAACCAACAAAAAGAGAGATTTAAGAGGATAGACTTTGATTGGCAATAGCTAAAAACATCACTTTGTTTGATTAAAAGTGAAATAAAACCCAGGACAGTAATTTTGCAATAAATAAAAGCATGATCCATGTGATATTAAATTCTCACTTTATTTTGAGTTCTATATTTCAATGATAAGGATTTAATTTCGAACAACCACAAATTTAAAAAATATATTTTCATTTCAATCATGATGTTAATAAAATTCTATTATTTAAACAAAGATTATGTATCAATCATCGAGACGAAATGTTGGATGGTGTGGATTTAAAAAGGAAAAAAAGGATTTATAATCTTTTTGCTACCTACGACTATGCTCCCATGTGTTTTTCTTATGACTTTAATTGCCGACCACGAGATATCCATGCCAAAGCCAATGGTGAACTTTGAAAAACAATGGTCCAGGCTTGAGCTGGGGTTATTTGACTTTGCATTTTAGGTATTTTTGTCTAGTTCTTGGCTGGAAGTACATTTGATTTTGAACAGAAACCTTGCTTGAATGGGCAGACTGTTGCTAGCTATGATCATATATCGTCTTTTCTTTTGATTGAAGAGGCAGAAGGGTGATATTTATAAATCTCTGATTTTTTTTTGTTTTATGCAGGCAATTTGAACCTACATACTTTAAATTAGATGGCAGTTGGATACTGATTTTTGCCTGTTATCAATGCTTATGTTATTAGTACTAAATGAGTGTCGGATACCGTATATGTTTGACATGAATGGATATGTTCAATTTGTTCACATATTACAAAGATCAAAACTTTATTATATATATATATATATTTAATGGATACGTATCAAACACGAATATTTAAAAAATAAATGAACGAAGCAACCGGAGTAACGCTAATGTATTTGGATGATTGAGAGTTTGATAATATCCAGTTTAGGAACTCTTTTCATGAATAAACCAAATTTGTCACTATCAAAGGATAGAGGAGTAGGAACACATTATTTAAAAAAAAAGGCCCCGACACGATAATTATGCACTAAAGAAGAAAAATGTAAAGCGGCTATCCTCTGGCTTTTTCATTTTCCAATTATTAGAATTAGGCCTTTAGATAAAGAGAAAAACTTTTTATTCTTTTTATTTATTATTTTTAAAGGGACACCCACCTTGAATTTATCGTTCAATGAGCTCATAATTACCATTTTTGTCATCATGGGTATTCTAATTTAAAGAATTCATGTGATGTGTTGTATAGTTTCATGATTGAGAGCCAAGACATCAGAGAAAATGTGTCCATTATACGACCACAATGGCTTGTGATTGGACCATCCGGTGCATGTCCAATTTCATATTCTGAACCCTTCAATTTTCATGGCTATTGCTCCCAGTGTCTCTTGGACCTGAAAACATGAAATCCTAAACTTAAAGCCCATGCTTTACCAGGTTTTCAGGATTTGGCATGTGCTGTGGGCTCTTAATTCTTTGGACCCACAAGCTGGAGCAATGCAGATATGATTAAAAGCCGACAATGACATTGCTTTATGCTTCATTTGGATGTGCGGTGAGAGGGATTCTCACCGTTTGTGAGTGCCGTTTTATGAAATTATCAATCCAAGAAAAAATTTAATGACAACGTTATTGAATTCGATTTGATGATATTCAGACATAACCTGAAAATGACTCGATGTTAAACTCAAATTGCCACCTAAGATACATTAGCTTGGACCTCAATTGAGTAGTTTCTTCCAGATAAATTGGAAAATTACTTTCGCTGTTATTTTTGTTTGGAATTGAGATCTTAGGAATCTTACGGAAAACAAAACAATAATTTGGATATTAAAAGGGATATGACACAACTCAAACAACGCCGGTGAACTTGTAGCATGTTTTTATCAGCAGAATATAATGATGCAGAAGAGGATTTCACCCAGCAAACGACATTTGTTATTGTTAGTATATATATATAGATGCTTCATGCCTGATACAACTAAGGAGGAGGTGGTCCTGGAGGGCCACCAGGAGGGAAGCCAGGAGGTCCTGGTGGGCCACCAAAAGGCCCAGGTGGACCAGCAGGAGGTCCGGGTGGAACAGCATAAGGTAAAGGTGGGCCGGGTGGGAGTGGAGCTGGAGCTGGAACAGGTAAGACGGGCGGTGGGGGAGCTGGAGCAGGGAATCCAGGAGGAGCTTCACGTGGGCCACCAGGAGGCCCTGGTGGAGGTGGACCGCCGAAGCAGTCTTGGATCAACCAGCAACAGCACAACACGTAGAGACTGCCAAAATTTTGTGGGTAAAAGTTAAAAAATGAATACATAACTTCAAGAAAAAGGTTTAAGATAAACTATATATTTTTTATGAAGGGAAAATTTTATTAATATTACGACCTTATTTGGCTTGCTGTGCACTTCAAAACAACATTTCCTTTGCTCAAAAGGAAATAAAAAGCCTTTCCTAAACCTCCGTCTCTATCTTACATTCAAAGAGGTATTACATTTTTTTTTTTTGTCAAAATGTAGAAGGAAAAAGAGTGAAAGGTAACAAAATTTTTTTGTTACAAAGCTTATAAACAACATAGAAATGTTACAAACCATGAAGTTATCCCGTTGCACAAGCCACCGAAGAAACCCGCAAGCATCCCTCCAGGTTCAGGCCAAGGAGCTCCGGGACCGCCTTGTCCAGGCCAAGGAGCTCCAGGACCGCCTGGTCCGGGAGGACCCCAATCAGGCCCACCAGGTCCTGGCCCTCCAGGACCAGGTCCAGGTGGTCTCATTTCGCCCTACAAGTGCACTCGAGCAACAATGCTACCAGTACTAGTAGAAAGCAAGTAGGAGCTTGGTTCTCGCTGTCATTAGCAGACCCCTGAACTGGTGTAAAGCTTGAATATAAATTGAGAAATTCCAAGTAGGAGCTTGGAAACTGGTTCTTGGATTTTCTGTGACACTTCACTATTATATATCGAGGGCTTTGAATTTGTTACTATGACTCTTTCGCCTAACGGACAGATTTTATAGTTAGCAACGGAAGCAGTGGTTCTAAAAGGTTCGATGCTACAAAACTAACTGTCAAACTTGCAACTGCTGTTTCTTCAACCTACCCTTCAGGTCAAAATTTCCAATTTGATTTAGCCTGTGTGTGTGTGTGTGTGTGTGTGTGTGTGTGTGTGGAAGAGATGTAATAATGAGAAACAAATAAAAATGCAGGGATATGACAAAAATGCCCCAACAATATTGGAAAGTTAGATGAGGCGTGCTATAGTGATTTTGATGGGAGTGTGCTGTCAGATTTTGGTGGTTGGTGGCTTAGAAGACATGAAATTCAGGGCCATCCACATTCAGGTCCAATATTTGAAAATCTCAAGTTTAAATCATGGAGAAATTGGAAAACAAACCTAACTTTTTGAACAAAGATTCATGCATTGCCATTGTGCTAAAGACTAAATGCTAAAAAGCTTCCATTCAATGAGATTGATGAGCATCCAAGAAATCAGTTTTCTTTATTAGGGGTTGGTTTGACGAGTTTTTAAAATCCTAAATACATTTTAATTTGGTGTGTTTTTCCAGAAAGCTGAAGGAGATTGAAAACTTTACCTAAGAAAGCCTCGGGAAATACTTAAGAAAGATAAAATGGACAAGAATAAGAATTGCAGAACAAATTTATTAGAAATTTTTAGTAATCCTAATTGGAGTTTTCCAACAAAACGGAAGAAATAATGACAGATATACAACATTAGAGAAGTTTCTCACCATACACCAAAAAAAAAAAAAAAAAAGCAAAAAGGGATCGGAAAAATGAATACAAGGTAAATGTTTTACTTCTGTTGCAATTTTTGGCATTCTCGGTTCAGATCTTAAAGAAACTGTGTCAGCAACATTTGTGGCCTCATGAATGGTCTCACAAATGCAGCTGTTATTTTATGCCTTCTCTTATATTCGAGCAGAATTCTTGTCTTTCTTAGACGACTTTGAATGAGCATTCCCATCACCTGACATGTATTTCTTTCTCCTAGGAGCACCCACAGCAGCAGGGTCTGCTAAAGGGCCAGACCATGTCTGGATTGGTGCTTTTGAACATGAGAAATTTGTGGTACTAAATGGAACATCTGGTGGATCAAAACCAGGATCCATTGGATGTGCAGATCCCAGAGGATAACCAAGAGCTCCATCTTGGTGTGGAGGAGGAAATTTCTCACTCTTGCTCTTTGCATTTGCATGTGTTATCAAACGCCGTCTCTGTTTCAGCAAAAAGTTCAAGTAATCAGTCCACAGTTGCAGCACTAACTCAAGTTGTAAAATCATAAAATCTAGGACCACCGCAAGTGACACTAGAATCAAAAACAAGGCACAACATGGTTTTTGATCTTGATTCTAGATGAAAAGGTCTCACCAACCATATCGTGTTTCTTGTGTGTGAGTGTGTGTGCACGCGCACGAGAGAAAGAGAGGAACCACAAATAAGCTGACTCACATCAGCGGAGAAGTCCTATAAATGATAAATATTTAACTTTGAAAGAGTTAACTGACCAAAAAAGACAACATTTTTTGTCCATAGAAGGAAAAAGTTAGATCAGCTGATTTATCTTGTCAGATTAAATGAAAAGTATGAGGTTTTGAGGGAAAAGAGTGCATCTATGACATACATCAAGGTTGGCTTGAAGCTCAGCATTTGCTTCTGGAGCAGGAACTGCCCGCACAGCTCGATCACGTGGACGAGCTTTCTTCACTCCATCTGCATTAGCTCTTCCAGCAGCTCGCAATCTACAATCATGAATCTCATCTCCAGTCAATTAAGAAGAGAAAGGAGAGAATCTATCAGATATATGCTTTATTGTAAATGAAACATTTGGACAAACATCTTATTGTCAACATCTGATGTAGTTTTATCTTAAAATTTATTTTCCAGATATGAATCATAATAGTCATTACTTCATGAACATATGCAGTGTAAAAATGATTTCTGAGGAACGCAATTCGGAAACAAAAACCAATATTTGAATTGGCCAGACTGTCAATCAGAACTTAATAATATTAAATATCAGGCTGTACCTTCTAGCTTCTTCATCTCGTAGCTTAGCATCCATCTCCTTGCTGGGAGGGTATTTTGGAAGGCTGGAAGGATCACAAGCATAAGGCTTGGTCATGAAGAACTGCAGAACACATATAGTCATGATGACATATTCAACCGAACACCAAAAATTGAAAAGCTCCATGCTAAATCAAAATTCAAACCCTAAAAATATCTCAGTCTCAGACATGACAAAAAGGTTTGGGCCAATCACAAGTTATCCTAGGAAAGCAGACCAAACTGACTAAAAATCTCAAGCATTCTTGAAAAAAAAGGGTGAAAGCTGAAAATCATTCTAAAGAAACTTTAGCCATGCAGTGGACATTAAGAGATGAGAAACATACATCAATAAATCAAATTTATCTGATTTAATGAATCACAAGAATGTTTTAAATGCTGCAGTCAAAAGCTACAAGAATATGAACAAACCACCCACAAAAAATTATAAAGAAAAGAGAAAGAAGATATGTGAGAAAATAAAAGCTCACTTCACTGTTTAATGCAGCTGTAGCTGTCAGACGCTCAACTGGGTCAATTGCAAGAAGAGTCTCAATCAGTGGCAATGATGATGGTGGAAAGTCCTTAAAAGTCTCTGCTATACATCGTTTATAGGATTGTTGGGGCTTGAATATGGTTGCATGAGGCAACTTTGACTTTTTCCAATATTCTTCGGAAGGAGAGCCACAAAGTTTAAATATCTTGTGTAATTGCTCCACCTAAGAAACATTATAGAAAAATATTAACAGATACAATTGGTAGCATGGCCAAGCAATTATACTCTATGCAGTTGCTAAACAGTAAGAAACCTACAAATACATTGATTCCATCATCTTTCCTGAACAGAAAATATACCATATAAGCATAAAGTGATTTGTTAACACCACTCACATTTCACATCAAATATACAAGATCATAAACAAAGATTCTTATATGGTATGTGCAACAGGATAAAACTCTAAATGCTTGTTAATAGCATTCAATTTAATTTTTCAAGCAAGGAAATTGAATCATACTAGTATTGCTTTCCCAAGCTGTTTCACTGTCATTGTGAAAGCCACTGGAACTTTCATGAGATAAGTAATAACAAATCAACTATTATGATGCTAATAGAGCAATTGGTAAAATGGGAATGGAATATCAAATCATGTAGTTGAATTGCCTGGACAACTCAAAAGCATTCAAACAGGGGGCTTAGTTTTGATGGAACTAGGACTGGGCAAAAATGAAGCTAGTTGTTGCTGAACAACCAACTGCTATAGAGGTGATATAGACAGCTGGGAGAAAAGAAAAAGTCCACAGAGGTTGGAGAATCAAATATCATAAGTAAGAAAGGAGAATTCAAATTCCAATGAAACTTTAATTAAGATAGTTAAATGCTGACTGAACTTCAAGAGTCAAGACCATGAAGTTTTATCTCGTGTAACAGCAATTGCAGAATGGATAATGTCGCAAAATATAGATTAATGGCAAGTAGATTGGGGCAAAGTACATTTTATTGCTACTAAGCCAAAATCTAGAGCAAAACCAATGTGCTAATTGTGTAAGCCTCTGTAAACTAAAGCTGCAAAGTTTGCATCATAACGTGCTTTCCAGAATGAAAAAGAATTGCACAAAGAGAATACATACCAAACAAATTCTAAATTCAACAAGTTAAGCTACCTCTGTGCGACCAGGCATGATGGGTCTTCCAGCCAATAACTCAGCTAGAATGCAACCAGCACTCCAGAGATCCACACTGACACCATAATCTGTGGCACCAAGAAGGAGCTCTGGAGGACGATACCAAAGTGTAACCACCCTACTAGTCATTGGCTGCTTGTGATTAGGATCAAAAAATGAAGCCAAACCAAAATCAGCTATCTTAAGAACACCACCATTGTCAATAAGAAGATTCGAGCCCTTAATATCACGATGCAATACATGACGATTGTGACAATGTTCAAGCCCTGATAACAATTGATGCATATAACATTTCACCTGTCCATACCAACAGAAGTAAAACTCTAGTCATAACTTAAATTCAAAACCAGACTGAACAATACCAAAGCAAAATATTATACCTGAGACTCAGTAAACTTTATACTCGGACTAGCAGCAAGTCCAGCCAAATCATGCTCCATATACTCGAATACAAGATACAAACTACAAGACATCCTCGAAGTCACCAACCCTTCTAATTTTACAACATTGGGATGATCCAAACGGCGTAAAATCATAATCTCCCTAGCCATGAACTTAACACTTTCTGGCTCCAAATTATCGAATCGAACTTTCTTTAATGCAACAATTTTCCCAGTCAAAGTATCCCTAGCTTTGTACACATTACTGTATGTTCCTTGACCAATCTAAACAATCAAATCGACAAAGTTACATTCATAAGTAAATAGTACTAATAAATAAGGAAATAAATGAGGTTATGAGAGGTTCGGATACCTTATCAATCTTCTCGAAAGTGTCGGCACGGCGGGGAGTCCAGCCGCTGATGGCTTCACCGGCGACGTTTGAAAGCCAAGATGGCCAGCCGGCGGCGACTTGCTCGCCGTGGACATGTTTAGGAGGGTTGCTCAGCCGCGGATTTGGCCGTGAAGACCGCCTTTTCGCTCTTGCTTTAGCTAGTTCCGCTGCTGTTTTTTCCTGCGTCGTCTCCTCTTCCACCCTCTGGTTGTTACTTCCATTTCTAACAACCTCTTCTTCCTTCTCCACTTTTTTCGCAACCCTACCAACTTCCTCTTTCTCTTTCTTTCTCTCTTCCCTCCCTACCGGTCTCCCGGATGCCTCTTTCCCAAACACACACCCCATGGTTTAGTCATATCTTCTTTTCCTTCCCTCACATTCCCACATTTTCTCACACTTTCTCTCCATCCAAACACAAAACCCAAAAAATGAAAGATTTGTAAGATATTAATACAAATGTCGCAAATGCAATGTTTGTGACCTAACCTTTTTCTCTTTGAAAAATAAACAAA